TTTCTTTTGCATCAAGAAATACAACTAGAATTAATTAATATAATAAACTGAACTATTCCATGCGCTTGACTGACTTAAAACTAAAGTCTAGTGTTTTTGTTCGAAAAATTTTGTAAAGTAAATTACGTTCATGATTGATAGTAGGCTGGAGTACCTATTGCTGCATTTCAAGCTTATGAAACCGAGCAAATCAAGCACATGAAAAAAAAATGATGCATAAAACAACGTCTCAATGCAAACCTTTGGAGAAAAATGCTATTTTCATATTCATATGCATTGTTTTCTATTTCAAAACATTCATAGACACATCGTTTTTCATTTATAACCTGTTGTTTCCACTTAAAGAATCTTCCAGAAATATTATTGGAACTTGTCTATGGGAGAACTTGTTTTTTGTCTCTAATTAATATTATCTAAAACATCGTTGGATACATTTGAGATCGTTTTCTTATCATGGATTTGAACCCGTAGTTTTAGTTTCTGTTACTGTTAAATTTGATTTTTTTTACAGGCTTATAAGAACACTGTTTATCGAATGCTTTTTCTCTGAGAAAAAAATGAATATTTGAATTAGCATTTTGAACAAAAAAAAATTGTTTCACAAAGTAAGCCTATACGTCGGACTTAATTGTAAAAGAAATAAAGTAGAAATCTATTGTTAACATGGTATACTTTGCAAATTATTGGTGATCATAATACTTACATTTATTCTTGAACTAAAGATACAATATTCTCAGTGACATTTATGTTAGAAAACAATAAATATTAAAATGGTTTGTTTTACTATATTTCAGATTCATTCTCTATTCAACTTTTAAAAACATTAATTTACGAGTTAAGCCGTCGTAAGGATTTAACTACCATGGTGCATTGACCTTGTCGCTTCTAGGACATTTGTAGATTGACAAGCGAGACAGACATCTCAGGTGTTGTTTGCATCGCTCGTGCTGAAAAAACAAAGTTGGATATAATCGGTGCTATCATGCTTTCTTATTCCATATTAACATCCCTCTATAATTTGTACTGTTCCGATTGGTTATTGTTCATTTGTCCAATAGAATATCACTTCATTGGTATGCCATTATTTGTTGTCTTAATTCAATGGTTTGATATTTCTTGTCTTTTTTTTGAAAGTGTAAAATATGATTAATGAAGATGCACGTTTTGAAATTGAACGTATTGTTGATAAAAGATATCGAAATGATCATGTAGAATATCTCATTAAATGGCGAGGTTATCCAGACAGTCAAAATACATGGGAACCTTGTAAGTAATCAAAAATTTATCAAGAATTTTATAGTTGAAAGCTTCAAGTTATACTTTAAAATATCAATTACACAACTAATTTTTGATAGGTTTTACAAAAAAAAACGAATATTGCTCAGTTAAGAAAATTGATAGTTCTGAAAAGTAGAGATTTATTTGTGTGTGATTACTTTGATTTTATAATTATATCTTTTTTTTTGTTTTAGCTAGTAATATCGAAGGTGCACAAGAATCAGAATTACTTGCTGAATATGAAATATATAATAAACAACAACAACAACAACAAAAGATACTGAATTCTGGATCACGATCTACAATCAATACATTATCACCAAATAAATATACAAATGTATTATAACGTATAACACAAAAAAAAATTCATAGATTAATTGTATATACATTTAGGATGAAGTCATAAATAATGCAATAAAAAAACGTCCATTAGGAACTAGTAATTTACAATCATTAAATACATCGAATGGTTTTGATCGAGGATTTGAAGCTGAAAAAATTTTAGGTGCAACTGATTCTGCTGGTGAACTTATGTTATTAGTAAAATGGCGTCATTCCGATGAAGCTGATCTTGTTCCAGCACGAATTGTCAATGTTAAATGTCCTAGACTTGTTATTGAATTTTATGAACAACATTCATTTTGGGTTCGATTGCCAAAAGTAAATCAAAATGGTGGATCTACAATACGATAAATTTTATTTATCATTTATTGTTTTTTTTTCTTTATGTGTGTATATTTCATTGTTTTGTTTTCGATACCTAGAAAAGAAAGTATGTCATATTGATCATAGCTTTGTAAAGATGTACATTTTAAGTATATAGAAATTGATAAATAATTGTTGAAAGCATGTTGGATTTGAAATCTATTAAATTTAGGAGAGAATATCTTGATCACTTGAGACTATTAACATTTGATCGGACATGAGTCATATATGTTTTACTCGATTTTTGCTCATAGATAGGCCTTATCGTCTCTAGAATAAAATACAGTGCTTTGTAAGCTGTTCTGCTACGAAGCAAAAAAAAAAGTACATGTAACTTTATTCGTTTGGTTTAATGATTTGACTACAAATAAAGATCGTTAAAATTTGATCGCGAACAGTAACTCGAAGTTAATAGGACTTATGATGAAAACATTGGTTTTCCAGTATTATCTCCATTTTTTTTTTATTAATAAATAAAGATTCGTATGTCTACGTTGTATCATAAATAAAGTACTCCAATTCATTGTAATCTTGAGTCTAGGACGATTTCAGCGTAGGTCTCTTCTCAGTGAGTAACTGCGATCGTGAAATTTTCGAGACAAAGAATTCAAGTTAGTCGAAGATCTCAAACACTTAGATGATTTCCGTCAACTCTCATGTGAAGATTACTCAAAGAATATGTCATAAATCAGATGACTATGATGCCTATCTATAGTTGAGATTTCATCATCCTGGCTTTCAGTGATTCTATGCTCGTGAGGTTAGAAATCAAAGAAAAAGTCCAATAGCCAGCAAACGAAGATCGAAAGATCAAACCAAAACAGATTTTTTCACTAGTCATCGGCTGTTATTTAAATTTTTCCTGCTAAGTGGTTTTAATGAAACATGAAACTCATTCGGTTATGCGTGAAGATAGAATCTACACTATATTCTAGATCTTACACTCATCTACATCACGCTCCCAATTGACCAACGTACTGAAGACTAGATTTGAACTATGTTTTCAAAATGTATCACACCATTGCTAGACATTATATGTCGTAACAAGTACCTCATATAGCATTTTGATATGTCGCCAAATACGACATATGCAACACATTTTATTCTAGCATGTAACTTTCTGCCTGGATTCTCTATATTTTCTTCCTCTTCCAATTTATTTTCCTTCTCTACTATTATCATACTTAGCTAATTTTGTTCTTTTTACATATGTTCATGATAATAAAGGGGTAGAAGGAAGAAGGAAAGAAATGCGTGAAAACAACAATACTGGTATGACATTTACACTTGGCAAAGTCAAATATTTATATTTAAAATGGAATAAGATAGTTTTGTTAACTGGAAAAGAGTAAGCAGGTAGGTAGTTAGATAGATAAATAGGTAATCAGCTCCACATCTGATCAAAAGTCTTTTTTTTTGTGAAAAGCAGTCTAAAATGAGTTTTGAAGAATAGAGGCAGAAACTTGAACATCCAACACACCATTATAGATATAGTCAAGATATTCAAGTCAACTGGAAATTATATATGGAAGTCAATTAAATTCATTAAGTAAATCTGTTTTTATCTCAAAGATCAACAATATAATACTTTAACAACATAATTTTCATCACAGAGACATAACACCAATAATGGAATGATGACATTTCTATCCAATATCGTTCAAAACAGTCTTTCTTTCAGAATTTTTCTTTCGATCAAAGTTAAGTTTACCGTTAACCAGATTGAATCGGCACCATTACCAAAAGAAAACTGAGCCCTACTCATCTCTATTCGTGACAGATAATCGAACAGGAATTCAATATTTTATTTTAAGAAAAAGAATCACGATAAAAATGCTAATTCGTCTTATATAAGAAAAATGCAGAGTATTTTGGTATAATTCTGCAAACTTGCAAAATTTACATGAGAAATGAAGAAATTGCTTATTCGATATGTTTTAATAGTAGATGACAGTAAAAGTCGCTCTTTTAATATTAGAATGTAATAATACAATAAAGTTGCAATTCACTTTATATACGTATATCTATATGAATTCTTTACCTCTTTTTTTTCTGCTTCAAATCACATGTTCTTCTTAGTATATCGTCATGTGCAACAAGAAGGTCATGGATTCTATTGAATTGCTTTTTCTTTCTTTTTTTTGTATTTCGATTCGACATGATTTATTTATTCTTCGTTTTGCAGAAACGAAAGAAAAAAAGCAGAAATAAAAAAAATACATACTTCCAACCTTTGAATGAATAATCGAAAAGACATACATTCAATACAACTTACATTGTAATCAACCATATAAAAAAAAATGGCTACTATTGTTGATGATTCTGCTACAGAAATTAATGTAGTTATTATTGGAGAGACAGGCACTGGTAAAAATTCAATATCTTAAATAATTTTTATACAAAAAAAAAAATCCTATTTTTTATTATGCATAGGTAAATCAACTTTAATTAATTATTTAACAAATCTATTTTATGATGGTTCATTAACAAATCTTAAAATAGCTATACCAACACGTTACTTAAAAGCTAATATGTCTTCAATAATGCCTGAACATCATGAAAATTTTTTAGATGATGTCACACGTTGTAAAACAAGTCAATGTACAAAATATCAATTTAAAATTCAACAAGTGTATTTTAATTTCTTTGATACACCTGGTATTAATGATACAGGTGGTTATTTAGTTGATAATGAAAATCTTAATAAAATATTTGAATGTATACAATCATTTGAATATCTTACAGCATTAGTGCTTGTTTTAAATGGTACACAAGCACGTTTAACAATTAATATTCAAAATGTTCTTGAACGTTTTCATGATCGTATACCTAATATATTTTATTCAAATATAATTCTTATTTTAACTAATTGTACTTCACATACAGTTAATTTTGAATCTATTAAATTTTTAAATCATCCACCAATGTTTTATATGCAAAATTCAGCATTTTCATCGGATCCTCAAACATGGTCAGAACAAACTCATCAAATTTTATATCATGATTGGAATATATCAATACAAACAATGAATGATTTTATTAAAACTTTAGTATTATTAACACCTATTTCAACAAATTCTTTATTCAATATAAATAATGATCGAAATATTATTCGAAGTGTCTTACATGAAAGTCGTCTTATGATTATGGAATTACAACAAATTGAAGATGAATTAATTGCACTTGAACAAGCATCAAATATTTATTCAGAAAATCTTGAAAAATATACAATAGAAAATGATAAACAAATAAAAAGTGTTCTTGTAAGTATTCAGATAGACGTTAGTATTAAGTATCATATAAATGATCTGAAACATTTTGAAAACTGGCTGTTGATGATTAGTGCGACAATTTCTCAACAATATATTTCTTCATTCGTCAATAGATTCGACGGAAGTTAAAAGAAAATTTAAAGCATTATGTTAGAATCAAAACTTAATACTCTTTTCAAATATACATGCGAAATTTGTATAAGACTCACAAGTTTGGAAGGAAGAAAGCAAAGTATTTCTATCTTACGCAAAATTCTTGCATTCAATCACGTGACTTTTTCATATACGATGACTAACCACGAATGTCAGATGTATGTAAACAACTTCTGAGGAAAATTTTATAACGTATATATTAAAAAAAGAGAAAAGTATTTTTGAATAGAATGATAGTAACACAGTCATTTTTTTTCTGTAAAACTTCTATAAGACACATTGACGTCTTTGAAACTCTTTAATTTTCGAATTTACAAAATCAACTCAATTATTTCTGAAAGATTGTTGAAAGATTTTAAATTCTTAGCTCATCTCGTAGAAAACAGTCTCATTCTTTATGCTATGCAAAAAAAACAAATTAGTATTAGAAGTTATTCAATAAGATATTATCACTGTAAAGTACGTACGTATATGATCTAGGTGGTGACTCACACAAAATTTCAGAATGTGATACAATTAAGAAGAAAACACTAGAAACAAGCTAAATCGAACGTCTGTATTACGAAAATAAGAAGGTAGCACACAATCAATTTCGAACGAGATATAATCAAATTTTTCGTTTTCTAGGTTTGTTAAAATCCTTCGGAAAGAGTACAAAATTTTGATTCAAATCCTATACTTTACTCTATAGATCTGATTGAAACTATAAGAATAAACTATATTTTTAGGTAAATGAAATCACTACTACACCATATCATAATACAATATGTTTACAATGTAATATAGTTTGTCATGAACGATGTTCATTAACCGAAACTACACAAATTGGTGAACATGTTTTTCGACATTGTACAGCTATGAAGAATGGTCGATGTACAGTATGCCCTGATAGATGTTCATGTGATATGCATTATCATGATCGACGCTTGATAAAATGTGTTCCAACAACATTAAAATGTGCTATATCATCATTACCAAATAAATATAGTGATGCAGAAAAAAATAAAGCAGCATGTGATATAAAATGTAAAACTGTTCAAGAAACAAAACGTTTAATTGAACAATTATTACAAGAACAATGTAACAAAGTACATGATGCTTGTATACGTGTACAAAGTAATTGTGAAGGTTTTAATATTGCAGAAGAATTATATACATTTATTAATCTTCTTAAAAATGATTTGAATAAATTACGATCACCAATAGTAATTCATAAAGCAACAAAATTTATTGAAAAATTAGAAATATTAGCTAATGATAATTCATTAATGATACCTCGACGATCACATACAAATGTAACTAAAAAGAAAATACGAACATCAAAAAAAAGACACCAATCACAATTGACATCAACAATACAAAATGATGATTTAATGATAATCGATCAACCATCTGTTTCAACATTGATAACACAAATTGATCATATACCTACTGAAGTTTTATTATTCGAAGATAATTTATTTAATCGTATTCAAAGTTCTCAACGACAAACATCAAATATTTCAAATAGTCGAAAATATACTAAATATACAACAGAACAATTGATTGATATAACTCGTCAATCAATGGAGAAAAATATATTAATTGCAAAAGAACTAAATCGTCGTTGTGAAGCAGCTTCAATTGGTTATTTATCAGCAACACAATTATTAACATTATGTGAATATTATGCATCATGTCGTCTTTTAAGACCCGATGAACTTACTCATTTATATTCACAACTTCAATTAGACATACAACAATCAACTAATTCTAATGCATCTGAAAATTTTACTACGCCAGTAGACAAATTGTTATATTTAACTGCAATTAAATTGTGTTTAGAACATGCAGATAAATATCAATAAAACTACTCGTTTTTTGTTTTTTAAACGATGCTTGTCATATTATTTTATGATAGCTATACTCTCTCTTCTCTCCAACCGAGAATAAACTATGATTTTTCTAGAAAGCCAAGAGTTTGTAAAAAAACACCTTCTAATATTCAAACAGTCGTTTTTAGTTAAGAGTTGCTAGAAGAACAGAATTTTCACTAAGAAAAATTTTTTTTAAACAGGAAACATAGTAGTTTTTAAGTGTTGAAATAAAGAAAAACATTCTTATATAGAATAGACTTTAATTTTCGAGGATAGGTTAACCATAACATCCCGAAAAGTGTTTCTTAATTATCAATGGAACAGGTACTAACAGTAGTTGTTTAATAAATTATTATTATATTGATTTATGACCAGATTTTGTATGATTTTGACAATGCATTGATAACATAAAATATGTAATACCAGTAACAGAAGATATGTCAATTAGTGATAAACTCGACCAATCGTTTTTGATCTCAGTCCTGGTCAAAAAAGAGTTTTAGATTCTGACTTTGCGCTGAGTAACACATTTACTAGCAAAAAACGCAATATGATTTTCTAAGTGTCTATGCATTCGAGATATCTTATACGATCCGCATGACCTTTGATATCCACCTTATTCGAGATTTATTACTTTTCTTAATTTGCTAATAAGTTACCTATTCTGCATATTAATGTGTTCAAAAACTCTGTTGTTTATCATTAGTTTTTTTTTGCAACAATGAAGAGTGAATGAAGTCTTTCCTTTTAAAAGATTTGTTGTTATTTCAATTACTATTCTATCGATGTCATTGTAAATATCAAATTTAGTTCATTTTCTTGCAAAAACAAACCTTTCAATGAGTGAGTTTTTTGACAGTAGTACACGAAGATTTGAATGAATAAAATATGATCTTGAGATGTCCAAATCCTAGTGTACTGCTCTTACGATATTATTTAATAGAAGTAAATATCACATCATTTTTCATGGCCCACCTCAAGAAAACGGAGTTGTAAAGGGCTGTAAACAGTATTTAAGTGCGAGAGTGTGTATAGCTGCAAATCTTCTCTTCACTTATCAATCCTCCCCCACATTCTTGCTAAATGTCATTCGACAGATATAATTCGTCGTGTTCTTTTGACCATTTATAGAAGTTTTTTAATTATCCACTTTACATTAAATATCTCGCTTTTGTCTGGTGAAGGGCTTCATCGACAAAAAAAGAAAAAAATGGAAGAGCTTTCAACACAGTTCCTACGACATTACAATAAAAAACAAGCTGAAACTGTTTCACATGGAGAAAGTAATTGCTTGTTATTTTCGTCACGATTCACCACAATATGAAGGAAGAATTCAGGGTGTGAATGTAAGTGTTCTCTTCACCGATACCCACCCCCAAATAGTGGATTAAACGAAGATCAACTTCTATACCCATCCAGTTTCCCGTCCTACGCAGTGCTGTGACAAACAGAGTAATAAATAGGTCAACGTTTTTTTCTTTTGCAAAATTGATTAGCAATCCTCCTGTGTAGTCATCACGTTACTTCTATTTACATCTGTACTGGAATAAGTCTCTGAAAAAATTCTTTTTTGATTTATTTGACACTAGAAGCGAGTTCGAAACAAGGCCAAACAAAAGTCTATTTACCACAATTCATTGGACTTTAACCCAATGTGAGAAGAAAGAAAACGAATGTCTAGAGATGAAATGATATAAAACAAAAATAACACAGATAGAGACCAGCGAGAATATGTGAGAGAATGCAAATGGTAAACATTTCAGCCACTCCTAAAAACATACCATTATACATGATAAGAACAAGACGTTTTGTTGACTTGAATGATAATATGACGATTCTAGAACGGGTCAAAATTTATGATCGTTTTTCTAGTTGAAGAATCTCTTCTTATCATATAAAAACAGTATCTTTAACGATTTTGTCCTTGGTGCCTTCTCTCTAGGTTATTTCATACAGATGTAAAGCAAAGAAAAGAATGCAAAAAAAAAACGACGAACAACATCGAACAGATGCATTCTTTTTTTTTCTTTTTCATTCTCTACTCACTATAAATGTTTACATGCGTGGTTATTTTTATTATTCTTCAAAATCATTCGACGTCAAGAGCGTGGACATGTAAGTTTCTATTGTTAGACTGGTATTGCTTGGTTGAGTTAGTTTGTTATACTTTTTAGTGTACATTAATACCGTGAGTAGTGAGAATGTTTTTGAACTAGAATTATTATTAGTATAGTGCCTTCAATTTTGAATCGAGTCAAAAAAGAAAATTTTTTTTTTCTTCATCAAACAAGGATAGTGTCTGACAAATCTGAAATTTCGTATAAGTGGCTACTTTTACATTCTCTGTGTGCAAATACTATTGAATTCAAGATGTAAACTAGGATATTTTTCTATTTAGAATGCAACAATACAAGTTTTAATGCTCTTTCGATCTATTCTTATTTCAGATCATTTACATTTGTACTATCAAGTAAACATTAATATTTCAAATGGCTGATACATCAATCATCAAGGTTTCATCAAAAACATCTCCCGTCGGTGAAATGGGACAAAAATATTTGGCAAACGGCAAGTCTCTGTCGATGCGAATGTGGGAGGATGTCAAGCCGGATATGCATGAGAAGGCTATGATGGCGCGTGACTATGAAACATGCGGTTATGTTATCTCGGGCAAGGCCGAGCTTCACTTTGAAAACGATCAAATGGTCCTTCTCAGTGCTGGTGACTCCTGGATCGTACCCAAAGGTGCCAAACACACCTACAAGATTGTGGAGAACTTCACTGCTGTTGAGGCCACTCATCCACCTGCCGAGATTAAGAATAGAGACGCACCCGCGACTCACTGAAAAAGGACGTTCTCTCAATGATAATTAAACGAGGCAGAGAGAAAGAGACAAGAAAAGACTCATCTTTTTTTTTTTTTTACTTTCATTTGCAAAAAAAATGTGTTGAATAAAGAAAGAAAACATTATCTACAAGTTATTGTCACGTGATAATGTTATTCTTTTCCTCATGAATCTGGTTGGAGATATTTTTTACCATTGAGAACAAAAATACAGTAGATGTCTAGACACGGAGCTAACAAATATTAAATGAGCTTCTATTTTCAAACTCGAGCTTTTTGATGTTACAATATTGAACAAAAGTAGTTTTTCTCTCCAATCAAATTTATTTTATAATATTGCATTCATTTTTTTATCGGTATATGTCACCAACACTTAGCCTGACTTCACTCGGTCAACATATGCTGCAATTATGAATCTAACACTATCTTCATCTTGTCATGATCATATCTCAACCAAACAACAGAAATGGGTTTCCCACTGAAAACTGCTCTATTTGAAAATTAAAAAAAACCTTCAATAATTATACATCATCGAAAATGATTAATTCGCTAAAAATCATTTGTCAATAGTGAGAATTTTAGTAAAGGACACCATTTCAATTTAATCATTTTTTAGACAAAAAAAATGATTAATGTAACGTAGAGTGTGAATGTAGGTTGTGGATGAAGAGAAAATCGACATCCACACCCCACACCCATATGATGTAAATAGATAAGATATATTAGAATGAAATATTCAATAAATACCGTGAAATAGAAATCAATTATAGATCTAAGATGTCTGTATATATTGTAAGAATGAATTATTCTGATTTGATTCTAGATATAGGAACAATATTAGAAAATTTTAAAACTGTTTTGTGTAGAAAGAAAAAAAGAGCATCCATGAGCTAATGTGAATAAAGAGGATAGAGTTGATGAAAGCTTTGGAGTTAGTCTTCATTAGATGAAGTTTCTACGTAATATTCGATTTGTATCAAATTGAACGTATGTATAATACTTACAGGTTTTCTTATATGCTGATGGACATCGAATTCTGATAATATTATGTGCATTGGTATCAGTGCAGTATTGAGCTGGAAAATTAACATCTAGGTCTATCAGACTTATAGAGCCAACAAGTACTTTTGCATAATCTCAGATCTTTCTCAATTGATAACATAATCTACCTTTGTGAGTGATGCTGAACTATAGAATTAAGCAAAGTGAAGATAACCGTTGTGAACAGCAATGACGATAGCAAGAAAAGATCTAGCTTTAATCTGATTAACTATTCATAGGATAGACAAAAAGCTGCTGGTAAAAAATTACAGATATTGGAAGTGCGTGTGGGATTCTAGAAGACAAGAAATGCATCTGTATCTTCTCTACATCCTCACATACTCTATACAGATTCAGAGTCTTAACCTATCCACAGTCAAGCCTTTGCCTTCTCTATTATATGACGAAATTCATTTTATTTTCTCAAGTGACATCGGATAGAAAGCGTACAAAACGCAGTACTCTATCAAAAACGTAAATCAATGAGAAAAGTTGTTTTTTGTTTGTTCTTGTGCGGCATAAGCTCGGACAAGTATGGATCCACCAGATTCAAGAAAAGATCGTTGAACAGGACGGGTCATTTGCATTGGAATGTTCTCATTTGGCATAATATTAATTGAAGACAACGACATCAATGTAGTCCGTGTTATTGTTCGAGACGAAATATTGGAAGGCGAAAATGAATCAGACAGAAATGAGTGTTCACGAAATGAATCGATCATTGGTGTTCGTCGACTATCATTGATGTACTGTCGTCGATAGTTTCTTAAATCCTCATTGGACATGTTACAGCTATTATCAGGTGAATGACCATTGCATTGCCTTTGGCACACGTCGCACTGAACATGTTCGTCTTTCCAAAATCTTTGACGCAATTTTCTTCTAAGAAAACGATATGAGTTCAACACATGAAACAGAAGTATAAAATGAATCTACGTACAAGAAAAGTCCTGGACACCATCGACAGCAAAGACAAATAGCCAATATGCTCAGGATAAACAACAGTGGAAGCCCAAGACCTAGACCTAGTTCAAACAGAAGAGACAGACCATTGACCGATTCGATATTGAGTATTTGTGAGAGCGATGTCGTCGACGTAGTAGAT